ATTTTTATAAACCACGACAATTCCCTAATGGCATTATAAACGATATGGAACTAGAATAATCTGAATATGATGATAAACTATTAATACATGCAATGACTGCCATTCTAAAGTTAAATACATGCCAAAGTACTATACAAGACGGTTCTTGTTTTTTAAAATGCATCATTAACTTTGAAATTGCCACAGCAGGCGAAAGATCTTGAAATATAAACATTGAATTAAGGTATATTATTTCATTTTTATTCTTTCAAGGCATTAACCGGATGACTACTGACTAGCTTTAGATGCACAGAAACCACAGACGGATCTACGGGGGGGGGAGGCTTTCGGGCTGAAGCCCCCCCAAAATGGTAAAATATGATCATGTTTTATAAAAAAAAAAAAAAAAAAAATACTAAAAAACTATCTCTTAAAGTATTCTTGTTCGTTTAATTACATTTAATAGGACTTCAAAAACCACTTAAACATCATTTCGTATAGGTAGTTAATTTCTTTCTTTTTTTTTTTAATTAATCATTTTTATACTTATACGAAAAAAAATCTTTCGGGCTGAAGCCTCCCCCAAAATTAAATCCTGGATTTGAGAAACATCGCAGTTTTTCAAACTGATGATTATTTAATGGATTTCAAGTTTTTTGGATTCGTCAAAAGCCCACTGAATATTTTAATTCTGTTCGAGACAGTAATCTCATGCTGAATGGAAAGGACTGAAAAATAAAAGTAATAGTTATGATATTTAAAATAATCATGAAATTATATTCAAGTGCTACCATGAGTATCTTATCAACAAATCTTTTCATGTCATTATATTTCCAAAGGACGAGTTCATTGTTGAAGAGTCTACGAAGAATTTTGGGCATTCATTATAGGGTGGCCATGGGAGAGTTTAGTACGCAGCAAAAATTGGCAGCCCTCAAGCACGGAGAAGTCCAGGCAACCAACTTCGAGGAAGCAGCCGAAATCTTCATTGCGACAACGTACCCTAGGAATGATCCGTTTCGACAGCGATGAGGAAAATTTCGTGAGATGAACAACGGCATACCCACCTGGTACGGACTTGTGCTCACGATGGGATATTTATGATTTCTGTTTTGCCGTGGATAAGCACAAAACAGGTCGCGCTCCAGGACTCGATCTATAGATGCGGAGATCCTAAACAGTAATCACTACATTGATGAGACTTTTGGGAATATATAATGATTGTCTGGATAGGAGATACTTTCCCAAAAGCTGGAAGATCGCCGATTTAAGACTCCTCTACAAGGGAGAAAACAGGGATAATCAGCTCCCCAAGTCCTATAGGCTCATATGTCTTCTCTCTGTGATGAGCAAGGTCCTGGTGAACCTTATCTTAATCAGCCTAATACTAGTTCTTACAAGAGCAAGTCATCCACAACCATAAGGTTCCACTAATGGGAATGGAACCGCTGATGCCGTGCTGAGAGTGCGTGAAGAAGTTGTATTGAGGACAGAGCATTATGTCTTGTTGATGCTTTTTGACATATCCCCCGCCTTCGACAGCGTCTGGTGGCTTCTTGAGCTCCAGCAACTACAGAAATGTGATGCTCACAGCAACTTGCATACCTTGATAAGAAGCTAATTACAGGATGGACGTGTAAGGGTTCATAGTAGTTCCTATAAAACTGAAGCCTTCATAGAGAAGGGATGTCTTCTAGGATCAGTACTTGGTCCAAATTCATAGAAGTTAGTTTTTGATGAGTTGTTGCGAGAGTTAGAAGAACAGCGGTTCCCTGCCACTGGATACATTGATGATTGGGCTGTAGTGGTGTACTCCAACAGCAGAGCCGGCTTAACACAAGAAGCGGAACGATGCTCTAACTTGGTCAGAGAATGGTGCGAGAGGTAAAAGTTGTCAATGGCCGCTTCAAAGACTCAGACAATTCTCATGAAAGGAAAAACTGATAGGGTACTTCTTATGAATATCACGATTCAAGGATCGAGAATACGCCCAAGTGAGGTTGTCACTTATCTAGCCGTAAGATTTGGAAAAAGATTCAATGTTACCCCTCACTTGGACTACCTTAGAAACAGGGCGCCCCTATATCTAAACGGTCTCAATCGTGTTGGGGACGCTTTATGGCACCTCAGATACCCAGCAACATTAACAATTTATAAGGGAGTGATTATGGGTATCTTGAAGTATGCAGCCCCTGCCTGGAACCAGGACCCCTCGCACCGACAGAAGAGTAAGTTGACGACAATACAGCGAACAGCTTTGCTGCAGGTCTTAGCAGGAGGGTTACCTCTCGACATCCTCCTGTGTGAAGACATGATGAAACATACATTTAAGAAAAAATGGCTCGTCAGGTCTGCCGAAAAACCATAAGGTGAGAATTGACGAGAAACCTCCCAAATGGAAATACATTATACTGGAGGACACAATGAAGAATATAACCGGTGGTGTGTGAAAACCACAAAAGGATCTACCTTAAGGAAGTACTTTCCCATTCGTCACGTTTAGAAGTGGGTCCTCCTGGACTACAGGCTCTCACAATTTCTCACAGGCCATGGGGCCTTTCGAGGAAAGCTTCATTGCCATGGGATGGACATTGACCTCCAATGCCCTAGCTGTAGTGTCCATAGTCGACTGCACCGTATTTGAAGAACGAACTAAGGGCTAAATTACTGAGGAAAACCGGTCTCTACATTCTCGCAGAGAACGATTTCCCTCAGTTACTCACTTCTGAAAGCTACCCATACTACAGATATTGTGTACGGGTGGAAAGCCACAGCGGGCACAGCCCATTTCAATCTAAGAAGAGTAGGAAGAGCTACTGGACCATTGATATGAAAAATATAGGAAAATCACTCAAGAAAAACAAGTAAGAACAGAAGTTCAAGCTTTACTTGCAGTAGTGAGATGTTAAGCTGACCTGCCTAACATCTTACTATTGCAGACAACCGTATTGCCTAAAAAGCACGGCAGGATTAAAATAAATAAATAAAATAATAATAATACATCTTTTTAAATATTCTGTTATGTGAAACGAAGTTTTTATATTTCCTTAAACATAATAACGTTGACTTGCAGAAGTTTATAATGAAGTTCTGGATAAACTAATCTTCCGTATGCCTCGTACAATTCAGATTATTCTGAATTAGGGATCTCACAAACAAAACCAATCAGGACGCTAAGCACAGATAAACTGAACACCAGTAGAAAAAAAATTATCGCTGAGATAGCCTATAACAAACTATCGGTAGGATCATTGATCCAAAATCAGCCAGCATCAACCTGTTTCAGTCTAAAATAAATTATAAAAGATCTGGTGTGGGACACGTATCAAATAACTACCCTACTTTGAATATACATATTGTCGATACCACGTTAAAGTAACGAATGTGAGCCTGTTTAACGCACCTGTTGCACCAGGTGTGTCCATCCCCCTCAAAGAAATAAAAGGGTTGTCTAATATATCTCCATTAGAGAATATCATTCGGAGCTATTAGCTATCCTTACTTATATAAAATAAAATATTTCAGCACTAACAGTATTGAAAAAGATTTTCATAGCAATAATCAAAACCTTATTTATTTATTAAAGAAACAAAAATGTAGAACATTTGATTAAATTTTCAATCTGCAAATTTCTTTGCAATGAGCAAATTTTTTGTCAGCTTCGCAGCTTCCCATCACGTCCGGGATGTAAATCAGATCAGCAGATCTCTTGGCCAACGTCTGCGTAATCGTCGTAGTGGGCTGTACGGGTTTCTTGTACGATGAAGAATTTCTGTTGGGGATTCATGTTGTATGTCAGTCTTTGGTGAAAGTTATTGTATTTCTCTTTTGCAGTATCTAAAATTGTAGGTACGTTTAAGTCTTTATGTAGTGTATCATTTGCGACATAAAACGGTGCGTCAACTATCCTTCGCAACACTTTTGACTGAAAGGACTGAACTTTTTTAATGTTAGAAGTTTTAGCAGAGTCCCACAGTTTTATGCCGTAAGTCCAAATAGGTTTAAGTAAAACTTTATAAAGGGTCAGTTTGTTAGTTAATGATAATTTTGAACGTCAGTCAAGTAATCTGGATAAAAGACCGTATCGTCTGTTTAGTTATATTCGTTTTTGTCTGATGTGAGTCCTCCAAGTAAGTCTTTTGTCCAGGTAAAAACCTAAATACCTAATTACGTCTGATGTTGGAATTTTAATGTTATTAAAATATATTTCAGGTGAAGGTTTATGGTTAAGAGTGAATACCACATGCACACTTTTTTTTCATTCATCTTAATTTTCCATCTTGTGGCCCAATCTGCAATATCATTCAGATGATTTTGAAGAGTGGTAGATGCTCGAACAGGGAATCAAAACCTAAGCATTTTTAATGAAAGAAAATTAGAATCGATGATTTAAAAGGAGTAAATCAGGTAAAATATACTATCATAAATTTAACACAATGAGAATTGCTTAAATGAACAATATTGGATCTGGTAAAGGATAATGTAGAAAAAATAAAAGAAAAATTTAATAAAATATTATTATTATTATTATTAAAAAATAAATTTTATAAAAAATAACAGCTATTGAAAATTACTAAGGAATGGAATAAAACAATAAAAATATAATTTACAAAAAATATACTGCTAGATTGGATGAAAAATACATTTCAGAAAATAGGTTTCAAAATTTCCTTAAAACTCTTCATTATTTTCCAATCTCCATGGAAGGCAATGGGAATGAAAATATTAACATAAAATAACTATATTAACTTAAATGTTATATATTCCTTCATCAATCCAAAATACAAAATTTCATTTTTCACTTTAAATTATAATAGTGTAAAAAATTATTTGACAATTGCCCAATTTATGACCAATGTTATTTTTTTTAAATTGTGATAGTTTTTCCACAGCTGAACTTTTCACTGAAGTTGTTCACTGTCCAAAATGTAGTTTAAATTTTAAAAAATGATGAAATTTATTATCATACTTTTCTTTCACACTAACAATATTTAAAAAATTTGTTCATCAAACAAAAAAAATTAGCTTTTCATAGTTAATATTGCATTTTCAAAATGATGTTTCCTTACTACTACCCTTGAGTCCTTAGGTAAATTAGGATCATCTAAAAGAAAAAAAAAAAAATTTAAGTTTAATGGTTGATTTTATAAATTTAATCCATACAATGATATAATACCACATAAGACAACTATATATTTATTTTAGAATAAATTTTTTTTTTTTAAATCTTTTTATTGAGAAATAATACCTTTTGCCACATTTAAGGGCACTGAGTACTAAAGCTGAGTGAGGCTCATTCATACTATATATACAATGCAATAAAAAAATATATATCTATATAACAAAGGTAAAAACTATAAAACTAAAAAAATGTAACTTGAATTCAAATTAAAAAAAAATAATAATAATAATAAGTAAAACAAATAGATATATAAAAAAGAAAAACATTCATACTTGATATATAAAAAAGAAAAACATTCATACTTTATTTACAATCAGCCAAGGGAGCTCTGAGTCCAGCACTTTCCTCCACGTTTGAAGGACGGAGCGAGACTCTAAGAGATCCCAGCGCTTCTCTCTCAGCTGCGTCACCGGCAGGAGTCCAGTGGAAACTGAGAGAGGGCACTAAAGCAACAGACGCTCATGACGTGAGTGGAGAGGCTGGCCATTGCCAGAACTCCAGTGACAGTCTTTACAAAAGGTCTCGAGGCCACTGCCGTTTCCACCTTCGAGGATGGTTGTAGGGGTGACTGGAGCTGGATAAGGATTGTGCTAAGGAGTTAGGATGGTGGATTAGGTTCAAATGAAAATTTGAGAATCGAGATGGAATAACGTCAAGGACATAAGGGATGTAAAGGTCATGATGTAGGGTTTTGTTTGTAACATAATAAGGAGCATTGACTATTATACGGAGGACTTTAGACTGAAAGGATTGGATGCGTTTGATGTTCGAAAATTTAGTTGTCCCCCACAGTTCAAGTCCGTAGGTCCAGATGGGTTTGAGTATGGTCTTGTATATTAATAGTTTGTTTTCTATTGAGAGATTGGATTTTCTGTTAAGTAGTCTGTATAGCTGGCCAAATCGTCGGTTAAGTTCTTGTCTTTTAAGTCTGGTATGTGGGTTCCAAGTTAGTCTTAGAATAAATTAAAGTTCAGAATTTTAAATCCGTTTATAATAATGGATTTATAGTTGACTGTAGTGAAAATTGAAGGGAAGTTGGTAAGATGTGTTCAGTCAAAAAAATAAAAAGTAAAAATAAATAAATTATGTTTATTTTTGTTTTTTCCGACGTTTCGGTCCAAAGTTCAGGCCATTATCAGGACTGATAGCATGGGAAGTTTCCCGTAAGGATATAAGGTTCAAAAAGTTCCTATAAGATCAGATTAATTGAAGAGAAGTTGGTTGGGGTGTTCAGACATTAAAATAAAAAATAAAATTAAATATAGTTTTATTTATTCATCTTACAGGAACCTTCCGTGAGATCAGCCGTGTTATAGGCTAGAACTTTGGGCTGAAATGTCAGAAAAAATAAAAATAAATCTCATTTATTTATTTAAATCTATTCAATTGATAAATTAGCAAAGCTGTTGGCAATGAAAAAATCTTTAAAAAAAAATCATGTCAACTAAGTATATGAGATAAATCATAATATAAACAGAAACATTATGTGAATAAGAAAGGTAGAGAGAGGAGTTGTACAAAAATAATAATTTTTATGACAAATAAATGCTTCCTTATAAAAAAGTAAAAAAATTACTTATTATTTCTCTAGCTGCTTCCATCCAGGCGGAAGAACAAATACCGTACATACTAGCACCTGTAATCTGTTTTGGTAGCATGTAAATCAAATCAGTAATTTCGACATCATCACTGAGAATAAACCTAAAATTCAAAGGACAGTTGACAATAAATGATAATTGAAAAAAAAAAAAAAAAAAAAAAAAAAACTTTTAACTTACTTTCTAGTAATTGCTTTCATTACTTTTTCTTTAGAATTGTTGTCTTCGCAAGGTCCAATATATAACATTTTGTCAAACCTACAAATATCAAAATAATAAATATAATATAATTTATATAATAAATAAATATAATTATAAATTAATCACTTATTTAACCATAAGCTGATTAAGGTAACATTCAAGAACCCAATAAAGCAGTTTGAATCAAATTCAGAGGTTATTTAAAAAAACATTTGCCAAGTAAGATCAGAATAGCTTCCTCGCCGTTTTCATTGCCTAAAAAATATCTATATTACAAAGTATAAATTTTTCGAATGAGAATAAAATCTCTAGGAGAAGCCATTACTGGGTGCATATTGAACATGTGTATCACTTCTGTTAGTGCAAAAAGTCGTATATAAAACTTGAGTGTTTTACAGGAGAGCATAATAATTATTTATATTAATTTTAATTATTAAATGGAATTCAATGAAATTGATACTAAAAAATTTCTATACTATTCTTTGAATTTCCTCCAAGTTTGGGTCAAATCGAGCGCGTAGGTTACAAACTATAGGCGTGTCAAATAATACATTTCCTGATCTGCAAGGGGAAGTATGTTTTTTTGGAAATGTGGATATAATTTGATAAAATTCATATATACTTGATTATCTGTTTACCAATCCCTAATTTCCTAAGAAAAATTGATAAGGGACCATCTAGGCTCCAACCCGCACAATCTCTGAAAATTTCATTAAAATTGGACAAACAGTAGGTGATATACCTGTCACATGGATTTTACTACAGACAGATACCGAACCAAATTTGATGCTTGATGTCTGAAACATAAAACGCGAAAGAAAATTTTCGATTATGAGCACAAAATTTGTTTTAACCTTTCGCACCAATACAATGCTTCCCTACCTTCCGTAGTGAGGAAGAAAAAAAAAACAACTGGCTCATTGGAAATTTAGACATATGGAGTTCAGTTTGGAGCTTTTTGAGATTTATAAAAATTTAAAATCCATTGTAGAATCTCCTTATTACATCACAATTAAATAATTCATGACTTATAAGTGATATATTACGGGCAGAAAAAGATGGAAATCCTATATCAAGCCTATTAGTTCTAGCCTACCTTCCCATTTGGTTCTCAATAGTCGAATCTGAGGACATTATATAACAAAATTGCTGTTGGAGTACTACCAATAGTTAAAGATGAACCAATAGGATGTTAATAATGAAAATGGATCGCTATAGTGTAACATCTCTTATATTTTTTAACTAATCATGTAACCTCGTGGAAGATCACTTTATACTGTTGGGATACTTCCAACAGAAATAAGAGGTTGTTAGAATATAAACAAATTAAAAAGAGTATTAAATATATTAATTGAAATTTATAATATATTTTATCTCAGGTATGGGTTACTGACAATCATATCAAAGCACTCCACCGACAACTATTATTATTTAACACTATTATTCTAAAATAAAATCGATTTTAAAATAATGTCAAGTATGGATCGGCAAGCTAACCTTTTCAATAGTACTGTTTCTTTCATGTTTACTAAATTCAATTGTCTCTAACATTTTTCCCATAACTCTCCTAACATCACATCTTCCAAAATGTGCACTTTCCTTCTACTCAACTAAACTGTCTGGGAGATCCTCTTCTTGAATTCCGAACAACGAGTGACTTCAGTCAAATAACAACTTTCCAAAAAACATGGATTATTTTTTTCAGGGATTTTACCCACTGATCCTTTTCTCCTCCCTCTTCAACTGCAGCCAAACAAACAAATGCTGCCAATACAAACTCCTTTGTCCTCTTTTCTTTTTGGGATTTTCCTTTCTGAAGAAACTACAGAGCAGCTATTTTCTTTTCCCTGAACTAGTGAAACTAGATTAGCTTGCCTTTTAACTGTTCAACATTAATTTATTTAATCATTTTTACCAACTTCCAATTAAGGTGTATATTACAATAGATAGTAAATTATTCTCAAGAATGGAGAGATTCAAATACCTTGGCTCTATAATAACCACAAAAAAATTCCAACCTTTTGTATATTAAGATATAGGGATACCAAATAAAGCTTTCTTCTCACAAACATACTGAGATTCCAAGAAATCTCAAATTGAGGGTTCTTATATACAATACTATGATAAAGTCAGTGCTAATATATACCAGTGAGACCTGAACTCTAACCAGCACACTAAAAAAAAAATTACAAGATTTGGGAGAACAGTCCTCCGGATAAACAGACATGAAGCTCGAAGCAATATTTGTCTGGAATTTTTAATGATTTATAGTGATATTTTTTTTTTTTATATTCATTAATTACACAGTTACTTCACCATTTATTAGGGAAGTTTAAATGTGTCAGCTGATGATAGAATGAGGACCCCGAAACCTCTTTAAAAAAATGACGCATTAACTGTGTAGGTTATAAATACAAATAAATAAGATTAAAATATCCTACAAATCATTAAAAAAGTACAAAAATTGTTGGTCTTAATCATTTTTATAAATGAAGGATTAAATTTACTTTATAAATACAGACTTTGTTACTATAATTTTACTTTGTATGAAAAGTACAGGAGCAATCAGATTTTACCTGCCAGGACGGAGAAGAGCAGGATCAATCAAGTCAGGTCTATTGGTGGCTGCTAGAATGAATACATCAGCATTATTTTCAAGACCATCCATTTCTGCTAGTAGTTGCGAAACCACCCTATCAAAAACAAAATTTTCAGTAATTAATTCAAATAAAATTGCTAGGAATCATCACATTTATTTTTAAGTCAATAAGTAATAATATAATATCAGAGAAAATAATAAAATATTTTCATCAAGAAACTAAAAATAAGATGAGAAACGTACCTAGAATTTAGCCTAGTTCCACCAAAAAATAATGAAATATAGCAATACATATTGCAATGCATAATTAATTGAGATTTCATTACAGACTTAACAATTAAAAAAAATAATACTTGATATTTTTTGATAATTTACTATTATTTATAATATTTTAAGAAATACTTTTCTTCACCTACTTATGATCAAAATGAGCCCATAACAACACAACGATTCTACAACAAAGATTCAATAAAATCTTTTCAGAATAATTTTTTCTTACAATTATATTTCTTCATGAAAAAAAAAAAAAAAAAAAAAAAAATATATATATATATATATATATATATATATATATATATATATATATATATATATACATATTTATATTCATAGTGTACAAAGTATTGTAATAATTTTACTAATGCAGACTGAAAATTAGTACAAAAAATTGAGATTTATAATTTACAAAATATTAAATTTAATATTAATATGGTTCTTTATAGTGAAAAGATAGTGAATGTAAAACAATCTAAAAAGCAATATACAAGATATAAGAACATTAGAGGAATCCAACTGTCCAGTCATGGTACGCTTGTAGATGAAAAAATCTATGTAGAGGAAAAGTTGAGTTTAGAGTTAGCCTATTCATATTAAATTCAAATTTATCAAAAGAGTGAGCTACCAATGTAAGATTAAATTGTTTATAAATAATTTTGTCAACAAGAGATTTACTGTATGTGAATTTATTTTACATATATTGTGAAAACTACAAATATAATTGTATTTGAGTAAACTATAAAGACTCCAATAAGACTAGTTTATTATAGTTTTTGCCTTTGTTATATCGATTTTTATATATTTTTTTTTTTTTTTTTTTTTTTTTTTATGGTATTGTATATATGGTATGAATGTGCCTCACTCAGCCTTAGTACTCAGTGTCCTTAAGTGTGGCAAAATGTATTATTACTCAATAAACAGATACAAAAAGAAAAAAAAAAAGAATAGTAAATTATTAATCACAATAGTTAATAAATTGTTATATGTAATATTATTTATCAAATTCATCTGAAAAATGTAAGAGTATATTCTATGATTTATATCACCTTCATCAAGTTTTCAGACACCACTTAAATTTGCATATGATTTTATTTGTTTCTTGTGCAAGGAAAAACTCACTTTCTAGTTTTTTAACTTTTGTAACCCTTTCAATAAATTAAAGAATAAAACATTAAATTAAAAATATCCTAGCCAAACTATATGACAAAGGTGACTCAAAGGTGAGGAAGACAAAATATTTATTTATTCAAGTTCTGAAAATGATCTTTCACCAAATGGCATATGAAATGCATCATTGACAACTTATATCCTAATCTATTTCATTAAGACTAGGATAAAAGTTGAATAATTAAAATAACCAAATAAAGATGTTATTCCAAATTCAATAATGTTTTCACATTATTTGTTTAACAGCTAACAGTATTAATAATAAAGAAGAGGGCTAGGTGGTATTGATCATGTGCGATAATATTTTCATTCACGACTTTAATAACTCGGTATAAAATAAAAATAGAAAAATAAAACTATACCTAATATTTAGATTTATATAAGAAATTAGAGAATATAATAAATGATACCTGTCCATCACTCCACCAGAATCAGATTTATTACCCCTATTAGGGGCTAAGGAATCTAGTTCATCAAAAAATAGAATGGATGGAGATGCTTCACGTGCTCTAGCAAATACTGAAAGAAAATTAAACACAGTATTTTTAGTAAGTAAATATGGTGTAATAAAAACCTGAAAGTATTTATACCAATCATAATTTGTAATTATATTAATTATAGCTATCTGAGTCAATAATATTTTTTAAAAATAAACTTCATAGAGAAAGTAACTAAGTTTAACAATGTTTTCAAAACAAAAATAAATTACAAGAGCTATGTATCATTATATAAGTTGATTATTATTAGTGCATTGTATTTACTGACAATAAAACAAAGAAACATGAATTTCATTCAATAAAGACTTTCCATGACTGATTTAATACTTTTTTTTAATTATATTAATTTTTATAATTCATTGAAATCATATTTATCAGTCATACTTGATTTTGACAATATGAATGATTCCAACCATTAGTTTAAGAACAGATAGTCGCCATTAGTTTTCTGGATATAAATTTGATTTTGGTATAATTTGTGGCTTATACTGAGAGTTCTCTAACAACTTGAAAGTTTTCATTTAGAAGCTTGAACTCTTCATAGTCGATAAATAACAAATTGGGGAAGAAAACAAATACCAACAAAAACAGAGTATTCATCCATTCACTGTCAACCATGATCACTAATCATGTTTGTAGTATCAGATCAATAAATACTTTAGCAATTTCCAACACCATACATATGGACACTTCATGTGAAGCAACCCAATATAAAATTACACAATTATTTTTAATATAAAAAGTCTTATAGTAACCTTGCCTAAGATTAGCTTCACTTTGGCCAACATACATGTTCAGAAGCTCTGGACCTTTGACTGGTATAAAAGTTCGATTACACTGAGAAGCAACTGCTCTCGCCAACAATGTCTTGCCAGTTCCTGGTGGTCCATGCAGAAGGAGTCCTCGCCTTTCCAGCCCGGGGATGAATTTTGAAGACATCAATGATCCCAAAACTTCCCTTTTAAGTTTATCAACACATCCTACATCTTCCCACTCAACTTCAGCAATTTTACCTTTATCTTTTCTATCATCTGGAAAAAAATTCAATGCTTAATTGTTGTTCTGAATGTAGCAAATGGTTTTAATTTCTTTTAGCTATGAACTATATATTAGGAACTCAATATCTGAATAATTTCCAAAACACTCAATTTGGATTATTCAATCTGGATGAGAAAAAATACTTCAGTATTTAGTAAAACAGAGTACTTTCAAATATTTATATTAAATTATAATTATCATTCATCTATATTTTAATTTTTTTTTTTCCTTTTTTCCTTTTTTTTTTTTTTTCTCCTCTGTAAATATGATCTATAATGACCTAATACAAATCAAAAATTAAAAATAATTACCTAAAAACCATTTAATATGATGTTTCTCAATTGTATCAGAATCATTGCATTCGATCCTTCTTTTATTGGATAGAAATAAAACTCTATTAAGGTCAGCAAGATTGAAAGATTTTGATTCTGTAGTCAAAAATGTGATAATGTTACTTTTTATTGGCACAGGAAGACGATGAGCAAGCCAAGTTATCATGAGCTTCCTTTCATTTTCATTTGGGTTATCTATGTTTAATGTCTGAAGAGATAAATTAATGAATGGGATGCCTAGAGAGTCAAGAGTAGAACAGGAGAATACAACTACTATTTTATCTTGCGGGTTAATGTTTTTTATATTTTCAGAGAAAGCTTCTGCAACTTGATCAGGATCGTTTCCTCCAGCTTCAGTGGAAAGTAACTACAAATAAAAAAAAAATAAAATATATTATTTGAAATTAAGGGATCGAGTAAGAAAATAAAGTTTTCAAATTAAACTACTTCACTTTCTCAATCATATAAACCAGTGAGTGAAGGGTTTGTATTAATCCTTAACCTAAGTCCTTAGTACTTACAATGTTCTGCTGATCACAGGCGGATCTATGGGAGGGGAGAGGTTTTCGGGCTCAAGCCCTCTCCTCCCCTCCAAAATGGTAAAATATAACTATGTTTTACAGAAAAAAATATTAAAAACTATCTCTTAAAGTGTTCTTGTTCGTGTAATTACATTTAATAAGACTTCAAGAACCACTTAAACACTATTTCATATAGGTAGTTAATTTCTTCCTTTTTTTTTCTAATTAATTATTGTTATATGTATATGAAAAAAAAAATTTTCGGGCTGAAGCCTCCCCAAAATTAAATTCTGGATCCGCTAGTGCTGCTGATTGCTATCTTATTTCAAGTTTCATTGATTAAATTTAGAAATACAACTACAAAATAACATAAATTCTTAGAAATTGGAATTAACAAGTGTTATAAGATTAAGTAAGCTCGATATTTTATTGTAAACTTGTCATGGTGTAAACTAAAATGACTGACATCAAACAAATTTCAATGTTTTAGAAATGGATTGTTGAAAGATAATTGATAACTTTCACTTTTTCTCATAATATTCCTTTATCTATGATCAATCTCTATAGCTTAACTATATCTTAGATCAAGAAGGAATTTTGTATTTCTATTGCAATAGATAGATCCATAATTAATTATCCCAAGAAGAATTTACTTGCAAAAACGGATCTCAGAACTCAACTTTTGATTGTTAAAATGATGGATAGAAAAGGACATTTATATAATGATTCTTCTCATACTTCAAAATATTTAAGTTGTCAGTATACACTAACATTGTGGGGACATTCTTCAGACTCAGCATAGTTTATAGGACTTTTAAAATGAGAAACAAAAGATCTACCATAATTATAATTAACATAAATGTTTGGGTTGAAGCGTTGGCACAAATAAAAAAAATTTTTTTTTTAAAAGACTGCGTCCTGAATATTTATCACCCATGATATATAGAACAGTCGACTAGCTTCCTTCCTTAATAATTTAAAGTACATGCAGGAACTAAAAAAATCAAAAGCTAACGATATTATCATTAATTTGTGATGGCAGGGTGAATGTATCTAGCAAAGAGCAACTTTAGTTTAGGATGTGCAAATTAAAACCTAAAACTAAACAAAAGCTTCATGAAACTTCTATGAAATCTAAAACATTACAAGAGAAAGTTTTAAAGGATATAATGCTGAGATTAAATTGGCCATGCAATTTAAGGGCGCAAACTAATAATAATACTAGCAATATGAGCGGACAATAGCCCCAAGCTATCCTCTGTTCTATATGCCTATGCAGAGGTGGAGAAGGATGGTTCACGTAGCCAAAGATCTGTAAGGCTAACAGAAAAAAAAAACTTACTACATTGAATTTTAAATTACAGAAGTTAAATTATTGCATATAGAATATATTTGGAAAGCCTTAGGGGGAAATTTCAGGAAAAAGATTATGAAGGAAAATAAACTTTATTTGTAAATAACTCATACAATTTTTTTTTTTTGTATTGTACTCATGATTATTTTGAAAGACTTGGCTACCCAAAAATCAAAATTATTATCTAGGACACATTTAAACGTAATTTGATAAATTATGATTCGATTATGAACGTAGATAAATGTAATTCGTAAATATTTTGGTTTAAAACATTAACGAAGTTTTATATTAATTTTCTTTTCCTTCGTCAATTAAAATTACCATAAAAATAGGAAGTGATTGTTTCATTTCATAATATGTTGAATTATTTAATTTCCTTATTATTTTGTCATTTTTTCATTGACCAATATTCTTTGCAAATTATTCGCAAGGGGCAACTATTTTATAATTATTTCCATTTGAAATTAACAAAAAAATTAAGAAACTCAAATAAATTTATCTTTTAATTTTTTTGAGTTGTTACAAAGTGAATGTAGTAAAGAATTTTTTGTTATTGTCCCTTTCTATTAAAGGTTTTTACTTCATCACTATTTTTTTTTTAAATATTATTTTTCTATTGTTTTCTTTCTTTCATTTCTAATTTATAAATTATGAAAACATTGAGAATTGATGTTCATGTTTTATATCCTGAAGCCTTATGCAAAAAAACAACATTGATACAACATATAAAGGGCTTTAGAAAAAAAGTTATTTCTGATGAAAAATTAATGAAATAATAAATTAAAAAATTTGTTCTATTAAACTGATGGTTTTTCTTTAATTGAAAAGTTATAATAATTACTGATTTGATAATTAGGATATTATTTATGAAACAGTAATTTATACAAGTTTCTTTTCTTTTTTTTCAATTACAAGCTATATAAATATACAATGGAAGCATATGTTCTTAAAATCAAGTCAGTTTTCAGTCCTTCCCTCCTCCCCCATCAAAACCCTATATGTGGTATTTTTACTAGTAATTATGGGAAGATAATAAACAATTTGTTACAAGTTTCATCTTATTTTATTTAATGTTGGGGTCAATTCCTAATTCCACCATACTAATAATCTTTTTAATCAATTAGAGATGAATCTCAACTTACTCTGTAACAAACCTCAACTTAATTAATATAGGCTCAAAGCTCATCAAATAAGGAAGTTTTTCTAAAAGTGTGATATCTTCAGTCCAGCGGAATCAAAAAAAAATCTCGAAGAATTCTTGATTTTATAAAAAATCTAACCGTAGTTTAATTCCTTTAAAGTCCCATTTAATGATTTTCAAAAAGACAAAATTGACTTGCATTTAATATAAATTTTATCTAGTTTACTATGAAGTAATTGGTTGTTACCTAATTAAATTCTTTTGTATTACTTTTAATTTAATAAAAAAAACGTGATTCAAACTTAACTTCAAAAATACAAAATTTATAGTTATTTTGTTATATTTTTTTTGTAGGTTTAAAGGTCTGCTATGACTCAGTATCAATTATACGAAATCAATGTCAATCTAACCTTCATATCAATATCACGAAATTCACGACTGATGGATATTGAATACAATTTTCTTGTCAATAACTCTTTTGAATGATCAAAACAAAGAATTTTTTTCTAGGTACTTCAAAATGGTATTATAAACTATGAATAATATCAATTTCATGGTTTAGAGCAATTTTTACTGAGCGAGGAAATACAAGAAATATAATCTCATAAATATCTCCGTAACCATTGATTTTATCAAAAAATGTATAGGATCATTTCTGTAGAGATTTTAAAGCACTTTAATATTGTGCTGAAAAATCTTTGTGAATAACCTCATAGTTTTTGAGATATCCTCAAAATATCCGCAAACATATGCGGTCACATTTATAGTAGCTCTGCTCATCATTCCACTATACGGTGTTCTACTGAAATGCCTGTGTTTGTTTTCGTCGCTCCGCTATGTGGTTACCCTAACCTGTTTTTAGTACTGAATGTTTTAAAAGTAATAATATAATAAATCAGTCCAAACAGAGCCCATGTCAATAGAGGCACTGCCTTAATCTCATTACAATATCATACATTATATGCATTAAGACTATCATTGAGACCCATCTTGTTAGTATAGATTCTCTCTGATGCTCATTTCACTTTATTTTTTTCTGAGATTGATCAATCTCTGAGAATATGATTAATTTTCTCAGCTGATTAGGCAGGAGAAACTATAAATTAATAATTATATCTATAACATTGAATTATCACACTAAAGAATTATTATTACAGGGTAGGATATTAAATCAGAATTTAAGATGATACAAACACTTTGTTGAGCTGAGATGGAAAGTATGAATCAAATTAATGAATTTGATTTAAAGAATTAAATGAATGAATTGAAGAAGAATCTATATAAGCCAGAAAACATGATATATATTTTATAATTTAAAAAATACATCATGAGGAGTTAGTCGAGGGTGCGGTCAAATAAATAAAAAAATTAAAATATATAAATTATTTTAATTAGGCAAAAATTAAAATAATTTATATATTTTAATTTTTTTATTTATTTGACCGCACCCTCGACTAACTCCATCTCATATTATATCAACGGTCAACCATCTCTACATCATTAAAAAATATACCGTTATAGGAGAAAAACATCAATTTAAAAAAAGGATGATTAAAAACCAATAACATTAAGACTTTAATGAGGTCAAACTTTTTTAAGCGTAGTCCTCTCAGGAGAAAACAATATGTTATTTAGATAATGTTGTTAAGGAAAGGCTAATACACTAAATTAATATTCCTTCTCTTAATAGCAAAACCCACCATCATCCAATCACTTGGACATGTCCAATAGTTTTATTTTTCAAAATAAATTTCATAAAATATTTTAAAGGTTCAAATTTAATATGCTTGGACAAAATACAAACAATAATAAATTGCAGTAATCAAACAAAATTACAGTTAAAGAAAACAAACAAAATAACAATTAAAATATTAATACCTCAGCATGACTGAAATGCAGAATAACAGGTGAGGAACTTTTACCTTCCTTAAAAGCATGAAGTACATTGGATTTGATTTGAGTCACAGTATTAGATATGATATTATTACAATCAATCTTCTTGTAATTTACACCCAACCTTTTGCTGACAGCATGCAGTAATACATTTTTACCAACCCCACTGGAACCATTGATTACAAACACAGGTTTCAGCTCTGCAAATGCCAAAAATAATTAATATCAAATATAAAAGGTTCCTCTCAACATTTCACATCTGTAAACAGTAGGAAGGATAATTGTCAAGTAAATAGTAACCGTCAGCCTTCTGGAAAGAAGATAGTAACAAAGTAATTTTGCAGCTGAGAAATACTATCCATCTTAATATTTCTATTTTACAACCCTCAAGTGATCAATTCTACCCACCAACAATTTATGTAGATTTACTCTTGAATTTAATTTATTTTAATTATTTTTGTTCTCAGATATCAAAATTTCTACTAACATTTTTATCTCAGTAATACAGCAACCCATGAGATATTCTTGTAAGAAAATGCTGTTTTTGGACCAACGGTATTGCAAGTAGGTGATTTGCTTAGTTAGTTTTTCCTCTAATTAAATTTACCCACATATTAGAGTCTATGGGCATATATTGAGGCAAATCCATAATAGTATCAAAATTAAATTTTCATTCATTATTGTATTTCATTTATATTATAAATAGTTTAATAGTTTCCTAATCTTCATTTAACTGTATCACACTATCTGCATGCCAAAGCAAGGGTATTTTACCACCGAAAATAAAACCTTATTACTAACAATTTTTCTACAACTAATACTTGCGTTTAAAAGTTAGAGAAAAGTTACAAAACAAATTAAAAAAACCTGGTAACAGTATCACACAACTTTCACTTACCACCCTCTTAGCAGAAATAATTATTTTCAGACAAAACGAAGTAAAAGTAAAAATTATAGACTCTATATTTATTTATACTTCATTGTGGGTATTATTATTTGTATAAGTACCCTCATATATACAAATTTTAATATTTATATCACTGTAATCTATACAATTAAATATCAAATAATACCAACAATAGCATTTATGAAAACCACATATGAATATTTATATAATATTGTTAGAGTCCGATTATATTAATCTCATGAAAATATGGAAGCGTGCTCTAATCTTTCGGGAGAGCTTGGGTTCGCTCGTATTCCTTTGGTTCCTCAATTACAATTATTCTCCTTGAGTTATTTATCAAATTCTTTCATATTTTATATTTTACCATTTTTCATACTAGAAATTAATGCGAAATGGTCAATTATTTCAAATAAAAAAAATTAAAGGTACTTGATAGGAAGCTAATATTGAAACTTAGCCATTTAAGCCCTGATAGAGCACTGATAAGATGAATTTAATCAAAATCGTTGAAGTGGTTTTTGAGATAATTGTAAAAAATGTGTTATTATATAAAGTACCACTTCCGGTAAGCTGATTTCGACGAAAAAGTTGCTATAACATAACTAGCATATAAAAATCTTAAATATGCAATTTTACTTCTGTAGGACTTTTCGTTTTTGAGCTAGACTGTTAACACACAGACCATTTCCACACACACAAAGTGTATTTCCTTTGAAAACTCCGATTAAAAAATTGTCATGATTGCAATACTTACCCTTACTATATATTACATATATAGGTAAGTGAAAGTAAAACACATTTTATAATCACCGGTTGATTAATTGTTAATTTAATTTGAATTTAAGTACTTTTTTATTATTACTGGTATGAAAATAATTGATCATAGTTTTAATTTAAGTTAAAATTAGTCAAAGAGTTTCGTTGACAGTCACACAGTAATGTAGGTCGAAATATAACCTATCCGATAAACATTACTCCAACATATTATTTGCACGAGTGTAGACTGCATCCTCCCTCTCCCCAACTTCTCTTTATATTATTATTATTATTATGAATTCCATTTAGATAAAATTATTAAATTTCATTCAACAGATATTACTTATCAAAAAGAAGACAAAATGTGGGAGTTTTTTTTTTTTTACAATACCATAACGTTAAACTAATTAAAATATTAACTTTAGATTATACTAACCATAGATATTATGAATAAAAAATGGACAAAACCACTTTAAAATCTGACAATAGTACTGTTCAAGGCCTAGAGGTAAAACAGTAATTATGGAACCAATATTCTTATAATTAATCAACTCCCATTCCTTAGGTGGGCAGTAGCAAGTTTGAGCAGCTTCATCATACAAAGATGTTGCTTCTGTTAGAGCATACATGTCAAAATTATCTGTACATTTGTCAGCTTCAATTTGAGACACCTTGAAATATAAATACCCGTATTGATACTCATCCATATATAATCGTAAATTTATGCAGCAGATATCTTCAGGAAGTATGTATCTTGGATATTTCAGAAAATTGGCAACAACTTTAGTAAGCATACCAGTAGGTAAGAACAGATTATCATTAACAAGACTCACAGCAACTTTCTTGGCTTCAGGAGGAAAGAAATTATCTATGCATTGCTCTATTTCAAAATAAACTTCTAGAAGGTACAGGTGATTCACAGCTAATGAAGACTTTAAATTAAACAGAGCAACATTAGTGACTACAAATGTTTTTGAAGGAACCAAAACTGATGGCACTATGAGGAATATTCTTTTGTGTCGTCTTTTTCTGCTATAAAAATTTATTACAACCCACTTATAATGATAAGCTTCAAATTCACAGGCATTGACAAATATTATATTATTCCTCTGTGATAATAGCTCATGATTATTAAATAATAACATAAAAATAGATTCTTCAACATCTAACACTCCATACTTCCTTTTTTCAAAATATTTATTTAAGCAATTTAGCCATGACACCACTTTATTAACATGTGAACTATGTTTTGAATACAATAATTGTCCAATAAAGTATAAAATACATATGGGAAATGAATTATTATTGACTTTATCATTCATTGCTACACTAATTAGTTAATCCAGAAAAATTTTAGATACTTTCAATATAAAAAAACATTGAATTCCAATAACCACTCAAAATAAACATTCATGCTGACATAACCTTATGTGTAGTGAAACCTACACTCAGAGGTTTGGAGGTTGCATCACTTTTTCAATTAATAAATTAAATTTATGGCATGAAACCTAAAGATCCCTGTAAAGTTCATGCTTGCAAAATTCAGAAATGTTTACACGGTAGTTGATATTAATTTGTTTAACTCATTATACTAAATTATTTAAGACTTTATAGGTGTACTGTCTTTATAGAAAACAAATTTCAAGAAGATAGATGCCAACAATTCATAGAATACTTAAGGGAATGTTGTGTTGTATGGGGTTCAGCTTCTATATCCTGTTCTGGAATTAAAACTGATGTTAAGGTTAGTAAAAATGTATTAATTTATTTATCTATGGTTCAATGTTTATATTGAATATAAATTTTAGTCATTTTATGAATTTTTATTTTAAACTTAAATATAATTTCCTTTTATCTTTGATTAGCTCCTGATGTTCATCTCGGTGCCTTAAGTTATCAGTTATTGGTCTTGTAAGTTGGTTTTTGGCTGGACTGGAATAAGGAGTTTGTAGTATCTTAGAATCGTTTTAATTTTCCTTCACTATAGATATTGATTTGTTAAATATATAAATGGATTAAAGGGATCGGTTGTTATGTAAGAGAGTTAATTTTTATTTTATTATTTTTCATAAGAAGCATCTGTTAATTTTTACAGATATAGTCTGATGCACTATTTTTGGAAGTATGTAGGCCTTTTAGTTTATGCTTACAATTAATATTTCATTCTCAAAATGCAACTTAGTTCATATTTTTATTTAAAATATCAAATTTTATTTTAAGTAATGTCAAACATATTGGCTTCTAAAATTGAAGAGATTGATTAGTTTCAAGATTGGCTCAATCAGCATAAATCCACCAGTTTAAATCCACTTTTATACTAGATTGTGATACTTTGGGTCCAGACAGATTTGCTAGATTATGTGTACTGCATCCATAACCTGTGAAATATAAATTAAAAACATTTAGCGGATTTAAGCATTTTATGATGTACCATGGAGAGAAACCAGGAACTCCAGGGATGAATTTTCTCCGGCTCCTTGAGTATTAAATTTACCTCTGGAACCCAATCTCTTTCAATATGATCTATATATGCATTAAAACAAGTTTTTAAAAATATTGTATGTAATATTATTTCTAAAGAATGCAAAAATAAAACCTGATTAACCTTCTTTGAGGCCCAGGATGCGGGACAACAGCCTGAGATGTTCCTCTCTCTCAGAACTGAAAGTATATACTATATAATATTGAATGAATCATTAACCATTATATTTGTCTTATTATCAGACATTATTTAATTTGTTGATAACACATCCTTTTTCCATTTAACTGTAAACAAAATGAGGGGAGTGTATAAATATATTCAGTATTAATACATTTCTAATTTATTTTTTTAACTTCTCTCCATTATATACATGTTACAAAATATATTTTTAAGCAATTTTGATTATTAAAACTTTTTTCTAGCGCTAATGTACCTATTACTTTCCATTAGTATTAATATCGGCCTTGATATCTTAAGAGGCCCATACATGTTGAGACTTGCACAATTCGGTTTGGTTGGAGTTGATCTATCATGTTAGAGTAATTTTTAGTATCATTATCAATTATACTAAATCAAAACTCATTACAACTTATTTAATACATATATGAGGATGTTTCACAAATATCACTCCAGAATTTATCTCAATGGACCTAGTGATATGTGTCAGCTTGTTGAGAAAGATTGTGTAGTTCATATATCTAGATGATTTTTGGATTTCAAGATTATTGCCACTATCTAGACATATAGTAATATAAATTATTTACAGATTGGGTCTTACCTGATAATTTCATTTCTTTTCAGTATGCTAAAAATCACAATGTTGTTGATGACATTAACTATTATTGAATCACTCACCTGATTATTTTGCTTTTTAATTACATGATTAACATGTTTCAGGCAAACAATATCATTCTTGTGAAATTTATATAATCTTTCAATGAAATTTCTATTAATTTCTTTAAAAATAAGATATAAAAAAAGTAATAATAAATTTGCAATGGAAAATTTTCCTTGTTTACGCTGCCAATATTTTACCCATATTTTTCTATCCTAAAATGTTTCCCCGTTTTGGAGCTTAATAGCTTTCATCCTTGTACCTAGTATTATTTATCCAGTTTTTCTTAATATTATGACTTTTGAAGCTAATAGATTCTGTGTAATCTCCTCACATGTTTTTTTTTTTTCTTTTTTCCCCTATTTGGCTATATCTACTATATGGTGTGGTTATCCTACAGGTAACCAATGTATTCCAGATGGAGTGGGAAGGTCAAGATTCATTCTTAGTGTCTGCCACAAAATTAATTTTTATCTATCTAAGCCTAATTGAACAGGTATCACTTCTGGTTCGAGGTTGGTAAAGTTACGTACTTTAAGGAACTCGCCTACTATAACCTCAGTTATGACCACTACTTGTTTTTGTTGGAAACTAATGTTACACTCTGTGTTGGTTTTACAAGTCTCAAAGTGTATGGGCCCCACAACACGTGTTGCAAACCATAGATTTGTGGTGAGTATAAAATTACTGATGTAAGGAAAGGAAATATACACAATGGCAAAAAAAGGTTTGATTAAAAATATCTCTTACATGATTCTATCATATGAATGTATTTAATATGATTAAAATGAAAATTTCTAATTCTAATATAGATTTTTTTTTTCCAGGTTCAATCTAATGGTGTAGAATCAAAAACTATAGATACCTCTTAGGATAATGTGATATATAAATAATATTTTCATTCTGTATTTTATTCTAAAAAGTTAACACAAAATCAAAAGGGATTCCCTTGGCAATATGGTGTGATATAAATAAATATATTAAAATCTATTTAATTTGTTATGAAAAAAAATTGTTTATCCAATGAAGAAGAAATGGAAACTATTGAAAAACTGATATCCACGCATGTTGAAGTTGAATCCTTCAAACTATTTAATCCAGATAAAAGCTCCTCTTCGACTAAACTACATTGTATCAAAATGAAGAAATATTTAAACTAGTTAAACAAGTATTTGTTAGTTTTTTTAGCCTGATTTACAAAAAATGAATTTGCGTAGTCATTGTTACCTAGCTTTAGCTATTAGAATAGGTTTTATTGTATTCGGTCTAGTCCAAGATTATTTTGCCGAAGTTGATTATACAGACATTGATTATAAGGTCTTCACTGATGCTGCAAGACATGTTTTAAATGGAAAATCACCTTTTGAAAGACACACTTATAGGTATTCTCCCATTATAGCCTATCTATTGATACCAAATATCTTTACATTTAATTTGTTTGGTAAACTTTTTTTTTCAGTTTGTGATATATTAATTATAGATTTAGTTTATAAAATTTTAAAGTTAGACGGGTTTACAGGAAGCCAATGTAAATTTTATTCTTTCTTTTGGCTTTATAATCCTCTATCAATTATAATCTCCACACGTGGCAATGCTGATTCTTTAGCAGCACTTTTGGTTTTGTCTACATTATTGTTATTTAAAGAAAAGAAAATTTTTCTGTGTGGAATATTGCATGGGTTTTCCATTCATTTACGTTTTTACCCTATAATTTTCAGCTTAGCCTTATACTTGGCTATTGAAGATTTCCACTCTAATTTAATTGTCAGATCAATTTATCCAAATAGGAAAAGGTTTTTATTTGTTCTTTCTTCTTTGTTTACTTTTGGACTAATTACTTATTTATTTTTCTACTTATACGGGATGAGATTTATTGATGAAAGTCTATTGTATCATCTGAAAAGAGTTGATATAAGACATAATTATTCTGTTTATTTCTATTTACAATATTTAAGTTATGAACATGGGTTGTCATTGGTTTATAAATTAGTCATGATTACCCCGCAAATAGCTCTGTTATTAATTCTCTCTTGCTATTACGGAAACTATAATGATATATCATTTTGTGAGATGACATTAACCTTTGTTTTGGTTTCGTTTAATTCTGTACTAACGTGCCAATATTTTATCTGGTATTTATGCCTTTTGCCAGTTTGCCTACCTTTCATTTATTGTAAACAAATGGAATTAGTTTTGGTCGGTAATTTCTGGATTGTTTCGCAGGTTGCTTGGCTTTTGCCCGCATACTTGCTTGAGTTTAAATCCAAAGACACTTACTTTTATATTTGGCTTCAAGGGCTGGTTTTCTTCTGGGCCAATATGGTTGTCCTTAGTACTTGTGTACGTAATTATAAAAAGAAGACAAAAACGTCATAATTAAAAACATGATAAAACAGAATCATATATATATTATATTAATTATTATTAAGGATTTATATTGTTGTCCACTGAAATAGGCTATTTTTTTAGTAATGCGATGTATAAACTTTATTGCTTGTTAGCAATCACCATTACTCTTATGAATTCTAATGAGGATTAGATGAAATTCAATTAAATTGAAAAATATTAATTTCATATTTTCTTAAAATCTGTATTTTTTTAACATAATTATTTTATGTAAAACTGTATTTGAAATGTGAGTTTCAATCAGAATTGTAAGTTAATTTATAATTATATTTGTGCAATAGAATTAAAGGGCATTTGTGACAAATATCTAATTATAAAGATGAGCCAAATGCAATGTTTTACCTCACTTGCTAGTCTAGTTTTTGGATTATGAGAATCTTGAACTTATTTTTTTAAGAACACGAAGATTAGTATAGCCTATAATTGGACTATCATGAGTTAAAAATATTGTTCACATTTTTTAAAAAGTTGATAAGGGACATTGGACCCTTCCACCTTTTATTGACATTGTTACAGTTGTAATTTTAAAATACAAAAGTATTATATCATTAAAAAGAAGTTTATTAATTGTGAATGTTAGGCCTATAATATTTTTAATTTTTTTCCTTACTGTCAGTATAAATAAGTGCTGTAATTATAACTCAAGGAATATGAAGTTAAAGCAGAAATATCTCAGGAGATAAATCAGATATTCGTTGTTTCGTGCGTTACCTATTGGATTTATTACTGTGCATTTTAATTTGAGTGTAAATAGTAATAAAAATTAAATGAATATATTTTAAATAGAAATTGATATAAAGAGAAAAACTATTATAGAGAGGAGCAGAAGTTTTACTGTAAAGGCTGATCTGAAGTAATTTTGATAAAGAGATGTTGAGATTGTAGTGCTGAAATTGAAAAGTGTAGATTGATTATCTGAAGCAGTTAGGGTGCCCAGGATCCTTATGGATAATGGCACTGGAGTGTAGGGATTGATGGAGCACTTTGTTACTTACTTAATATGTTTACTTGAAAAACTGCTGAGTTATCTCTGTATCTGGAAGGTGAGCTTTATTTGGTACTGTTAACTGGTATTGCATGTTACTAGAAAACATGTGTGGCCAGCTTCTGAATTGTCATGTCCAGCACTTCAGACCTAACCAGGCATTTTGACTTGACAGTTCAAGTCATAGTATCTTTTCTGGGAGAATTGGCATTTTTTTAACCTTTGTATGGAATTAGCCAATTCCCCAAGTAGTCCAGAGACTGCGCTGTATCCTCCACTTACACCAAGCTAATGCTAGATAGAAACTGGATTCATTTAGACTTGTGCTCAAAAATTGCTTGTGAAGTAAACAACATTGATTATTTAATCCATTATTAAATAATCTCTCTAATTTTGAAAATATTGTGGCCATTATATTGATATATTTTTGAGCAGAAGCATAAATGTTTGAAGTGAGTTACATATTATGGTATTATCAATTAATATCCTATAATGGAAGGATCATCAACTTTCTAACATCCATGCCAATGTTTTACCTTTCTTAGTTTACTTAAAGCTATATTTAGTCCAGGTGATGGGGAACAGAACATGGGGAACATATATATATATATTATATATATATATATATATATATATAGATATAATAATAATCATAATCATCTGTATCAACAATAATTCGCATAGTATATTGGTCAGTGAGCAAATAACAAAATTACAAGGAAGTAAAATAATGCAACATATTCTTATAAGCTATATATTTTCTTGGTAATCTTAATCGGCCAAGAAAATAAATTATTTTAAAACTTCTTTCATGATTGAAATGAACATTAACATTAAAATAAGCTGTATCTTTGCTTACAAATAATGGTTCGATTTTGATGAATTTGTTTGTAGGGTATTCAGCTATGACATAATCATGGGTCCAAGAAATAAAGAAAAATTTCTCAAACTATTTTATTTTATGTTTCCAATTCTAAAATGTTTACCAGTGTCTGCTTTTTTCATTTTGTGTAGTTTATGTGTTCCTAAATTCCTGCCAATTTTCTCTTGAAGCTTTTTCAAGATGCAAAATACTAATCTCAACTTTATTTCTACTAAAAAAAATATTTGAATCCACTTTGCTGCTTTGGTCGATACCAATCGCCTCAACATTATACTTATACTATACCTATATAACAAATAAATGGTTTTGTAATAGAGCTAAAAGTTTTAAATCTTATCAGAAGAATTTCTGATCGATTTTTTTGGCGAGTTCTCCAAGGAATTAAGTAATCTTTCAAATAATTATGGATGCAGTCAATATAAAGTTTATTTTTCTTTCTAATTTTTCCTGAAATTTCTGGGAGATGTGACTATATTTCTCACCTGAAGAAGAAAATCTCCATAATGAGGGCTCAATCACTGGATTTGATAAAGAATTTTAAAAATTGCTTCTTTGAGAAATAATATATAAAGGTGCTCTTTATGTATTTTTATAATCAGGAGGATAGAATAGTATGGTTTGCTGGATTAATAATTGGTTGTTGAAGTTTGGTATGGCTGTTACAGCTATTGGTTTTCTTCTTGGTGAGATTTTTCTCATTTCCATTGCTATAACTACTGTCAATAAAACATAAGTTAAAGTATACCATATATTGTCAAATAAGTTTTAAATTTATTTCTGGAGTATTTAATTTCAGGCATAATACTATAAATTAACATTTTCTCTTTAACTCATTCCATGTAAAGATTACTCTATAGTTGGTGAACAGATAGTATACATTTATTTGTTCCAATTTGAATTATAGGTAATAACATAAACTTTTGAAAATATAATTATTCGTGGCTATATTTCTCTCATTGTTCCATTTTTTATTTTATTTTTTTTTTTTTTTCGCCCTTAAGCTCTTCCTATCCCCTAAATCTAGCAATCCAGGGGACTTTGCAGTTTTCACCTTTTTAATTCAGATTCTCTTTATAATAACTCAACAAATAAGCAAAAAGGACCAACAGGTTTATTTTATAAAGCAAGAAATTAATTTGATTTATTTATCTAATAGAGTGAAAAAGGATGGTATATTTAAATAGCCATATCATTATCTCTCTCTCAAGTTTTGTGTTGTAGGAAAATAAATAAAATTGTTATTTCTAGATGAGATTTAGAAATAGGAAATAGAAGTTCAGAAATAGGAGTTTACAAAATATGTTATTTAAACAAGTTTATTATAAACACTATTATTGGCAGGAAACAATTTACAAATGTGATCGTCTTCTATTAATGTTTCACAAAATAGTTATTACATCATTACATAAAACATTGAGTATTTCCTTCTCTCGACTCTCCTCATCATGTTTCTTCTACAGAGAGCATTTAAATCGAACATCTTACTACATAGAAAACAATTTTTTTTGTCTTTGTACAATATAAAATACATTCTCATTTCCATTCTCCCATTCTCTAAATGACTAAAAATGTGTAAACAAATTATCCAATCTATACAAACTCCCGCCATTCAAATGGACTTAGATTAAAAATGCGGGAGTTATACAGTCATACGAGAATTACATATCTCGTTAAGCTAATTACACAGAACACTCAAAGAGAAGGATGTGTAACCTTTTTAACTGGTAGGCCGATAAAATATTGTTTTTATTTACAGTGATATTGGTTTTTATTTACTAAAATTTACATCCATTTTATTTATATATATATATATATTTATACTTATATTTACACCGCTTTCATAATTGACCATGAAGACAAAATCAATTATGATATGAAACAAAGAAAATTTAAAACATATTCTTTTGATTCTTTACTAAGATTTTTTTATGTATGTATTGACAATTGATTCTTGAGTGCCAAATTAGAAAGCGGTATCACTTTAACATCGACAATCTTTCCTATACCTATGTTATCCTGTGTTAATATACAGTTAACAAAAAGATTTATCACACTCGTTAAATATAGAACACAAGAAAACTTATTTTTAATATGAATGCAATATTGTTTATTGCGCATTTTTGTTAGTTATAAGAAAAAATATGGTTTCAATTTTATATAAATCCCTTTTCAGTTTTTAAATAAAATAAACTTTGTTTTTGTGTTTACTTGTCGTATACACACTTAATAACTTAAACTTTAATTAATAAATTAATTATTATACTAGGACATAAATGAAATCTTAATATGGCTAGTTTGGTTCATGGTAACATTATATTTTAAGAAACATTCAAAATAAAGGGACATAATTATGTCCGATAAATTCTTCATTAGACACATTTCTTTTATTTAGAAATGCTTAATTACATTTTGAAACAAATATATTTATTTTTATCTTTTTTTACAAATAATAAAATTAATCAATAAATTAGATATACAATAGCTGTACATGAAATTATTTATATATCAGTCAAATTTGAAATTAATCACAATAACTTAATAAATAATTTATTATGAGCAAGTTCCAAAATCATTTTTGGACCTTCTTCGTGATTTTTTAAAAATTTTTTAATAAACACTTAAATGAATCATCATATTGGTACACTTAGTCAATTAAGTAGAGCCCATACAAATATAACTTTTTACAAGATTATTTCACTATTTTGCAATATAATTAGTCACCAATTAGATTTCATACAAGGGATACGTTATTTTTTTTTTATTTTTTGTTTTATTTTTTATTATGTACAAACAACTATTTACAAATAAAAGCCTATTAGGTATTTTTGAATAATTACATTATAAATGGGAACAATACAACAGTCTATGTTTGGATTTCCCACAAGAATTCATTTCCTTAGGTAGCTCAGATGATATTACCATCAAAGCCTGATTCCGACAAAAAGAGTTAAATGCTAGATTAGATCACAGTAACTCTTCATCTTCTTGTTTTTTCTGAGCAGCAAAGATAGATGCAGCTTTATAGTTTATGGGGCCATAGGAACGATAATCCACATCAGCATAGTCCAAATCTGAGAATTCAGGTCGGTAAGGCTAGAAAAAATGTTTACAATAAAAAAATATTTTAATGTAATGTAAAAAGCCCTAATAACTGTAAAATAAACAATTACTATATAACCAATTGCATAAAAATCCAGTCTCTGCTTAACATTTCATTAAATAAATTAAGATTATGGGTTAGCTTAATGCATAAAGCAATGGGCTCCTCGCTACCAAAGGCGGATTTACGGGGGAGGATGTGGGCTTTCGGGCTGAAGCCCCCCCAAAATGGTAAAATGTAACCATGTTTTTTTTTAAAAATTATTAAAAAATTATGTCTTAAAGTATTATTGATCGTTTAATTACATTTAATAGGACTTCCAGGATCACTTAAACACCATTTCATATAGGTAGTTAGTATCTTTCTGTTTTTACAAAGTAATTATCGTTATATATATGAAAAAAAAAAGTTTCTGGGCTGAAGCTCCCCCCCCAAAATTAAATCCTGGATCCGCTAGTGCTTGCTACAGAGCTCAAAAACAAATCTGGCTATGATGGGAATTTTTGTTTCTGTTTTGTCAGTGGTTATGAGACTTTCCTGATTTTAATAATGTCTCTGAACAAATAATATTACATGAATAATTAAAACTTAAATTTTAAATCTGCTGTTGAATAATTTTCCTCTCAACTGAAAAATTAAATGAAGAAAAGGGTTATTTAAAAAAACAATTATTTGACTTACTCATTTTGTCCTTATATATTTGATAATGATTATAATGAACTAAAAGTGATTTCGAAACTGTAAATCACATTATAGAATATTTTATGAATTATTCTATGACAATTTTAGCAGATAGTATTATGAATCTTGTTAGGGATTCGGTATTAATAAATGAGAGGAAGGTGAATATAAAAATATTGATCAAACATGTATCACCCACTGCATTGAAAACCTGTTTTTCACTAATTGGTCAAAAAATAATTTCAGAAGCATTTAGTTGATCATTACCCAAAGCACTATCTCCTTGTTCTCTATTATAAACATTATCCATCATTTTCTGTCTTTCTCTTTACATTTGTACAAATCCAGTCTCAGCTCATAAAGGGCCAATGGGACCTATGCTCTTTAAACCATAGTCCCCACTCTGATAAAACCAAGCAATTTTGTGTCAATAGAAAATCTAGTGAGTTAAGACAAAATCTTTCAGGTTTGTGTTCTACTAACTACGCCTCATCACTGCATGTTTTAGGCATTTTAAATTTAATAGAGTCTTTTAATTTTTTCAATCTTAATTTTTGTTTACTATGATAGTTTTTGTTATTGCTTTCATTTTACAATAATTTTATGATTAATATTCTGACAATAACAAACTTTTTTAGTCATGTTCTGTACTTTATTTCTCCAGGTCACTGATTACTCATTCAAAACAATATTTTATAATAATAAAATAGTAAAATATTTTTCAAAGTACATTGTAATTTATAAAAAACTTAAATTTTAATGTCACTTGAATAAATTTAAAATTATTGATTCTTCAATGTTTTTTTTTGGTTTTTTTTGCTTTAATGTAATTATGTCAATATTCAACTTAAATAGAGTAGAATGGGTGAAAAATAAATAGGCTGAGATAGCATGTAAGCAGTAGTCCTGAAAATAAAAATAAATAAAAGATTGGGGTAAGGCTTGTTTTAACTCTTACAGGTGATGTTTGAAGGAACAAGTTCAGTCATCTCTCACATTCTTTTATCAGGTTTAAAGATCCTAACTCTTTTGCTTTCATTACCTACAGAGGTTATACTTGCTATATGAAGTATTACAAACCTTTAAAAACAAAGACTGGTTGTCATAAAAAAGAAATGTTGTCATTATTTCTTTTCCATCAGAAAAAAAAAACTACAATTCTTTTATCCCAATATAGTATGACCTACTCTGTTTATAGAAGATCACAAATAAAGCAGAATAAAACATAACGAATATTCTTTTAAAAATATCATCATAATCACTCCCCCTTCTACCACGGTTTGGTGTGAAGATCCTGCTTATAGAGTCTATCCCAGCTGTCTCTCTCCTGCACCAACTCTGTTCTCCTGCTCCCATCCATTCCATGCTTCCTGAATGCCTCCTTTACACTGCCATCCCAGGAGATGTGAGGTCTCCCTCTGGGTTTTTTTTCCTTTCGTGTGAGTCTTGTAAGTCTTCCTGGCACTTCTATCTGGATCCATCCTAAGAAGATATTCAAACCACCTTAGTTTATGCTCCTCCAAAATGGTCTCCTCCGGTTTGAGGTCGAGATTAGCCCGTATTGTGGCGTTCCGTATCTTATTTCCCCATTTCTTTCGGTTGACAAGACAGCCCTAAGGAATGGTTAGTGGTAGAAACTTATTCTTCAGTCCACCATTGTTTAAAAATTTGATTCTACATAACCTTCGAAAATTGTAAATATTATTAACAAATCTTCCATAAGTGTGCTAGAATTAAGGCAGCCAGAAAATAAATCTTCCTCTAATCTTTAAAGCTACTGATGAAAAGTAGTATTTATATATTTATTTAGGAATGTTTTTATAATTAGAGAGTGACATGGTTAAATTGATCTAAATTATTAAAAAATACACATACAAAATCCACTATACATCTATATATTTCAAACATTAAATTTTAATGTTATTTATACCTTTTAATGATCTGAACCTTCCTTCTTAAATTCTTTAATAAATGTAAGTTACGCTTGAGCTCTGGTTTTCCTGCAGGAAATGAAAATAAAATACCATATTTTTCATTATCAGAAGAAATTATTTTAATAATTAATTATTAAAAATAACTATGTATGAGCTAAAAAAAACAACTAATTTTACATAATTTTTTTAAAACTACTAATTATTTTTTAATTTAGTTAATTTAAATAAATATTTGTAGCACTGTAAATATTTATTTTCCTAATTATATCTTTCATAACTATATAATTAATTAGTACAGTAGAAGCCCAACATCTCCAAGCATAGTGAAGAAAAGAGATGTAAATTTCACAACCTCATACTCATAAAAAATATATTTTTTTTTTTTTATTTATTTCTGATAGCCATATAGTTATTCCTATACAAAATAGGAACTAATAAGTTTCTCGATATGCATTTCCGAACTTGGGTCAAAATAATTGAAAAACTTTGTAATTGATACCAAACAGTGGTGTACCTATGGAGGGGACTATAAGCACAGTTCTTATATCCATTTGGCTAATAAATAAATTTGATTAAATTATTGATATAATGGACATGTTAAAGGTGAAAAATATTAATTGGTTAACAAAGAATTATACGATGATAGGTGAGAAATGAAAGTTGATGGGTTAAAAAATTATAATATGATGTTTATTAGTTTATTATATGAAGGCCTAAAACATTGGCACATAATAGAATAAGGTTTCTTAATAGTTTGTTATTTCATCTATGATCACACTGCCTCTTGTTTCTCCACTCAGATTGTCCAACTTATTTTTATTTTATTTGATTCATATAGTTCAGTAATATATCTTAAAAGTTTAATGTTGCTTATTGATATATATTTATACTATTGCATAAGGTACGACATGCTAAGTTTACTAAATTGGACATCATAGCAATACTACAAGTGTAAGCTTATTTAGAATAAAAGAAGGAAAGATCAGAATTTGGCTTAGACATTAAAAGAGCTGAAAAAGAAAATTCAGTTTTTGGATTCTTGATTGACAAAATATAATTTAAAACAAACCTTTATTTCAGACATCTATCTCTTGTCCTACATCGTGGAACTTAATAAAAGCATATTCCGCGTGGTTCCTTGGACTAGTATGATGGGCCCTATGTGTCCTATGATGACTCGCCCTTGGAGGGGAGTTGTTCCTCGAACTGTGAGGAGTTGTTTTATATTTAGAATATTCATCCCTTAACGTTGGCCCACCAATCTCTCTTGCGCTTCCGTGGTGAGCTGGCTTCCTTCGAGGCCGAGTTCGCCTTTCACAACTCGAATTTTGCAGTCTCTGATAACAAGTTAGTCAAAACACATGCAAGTTAATATGTTAGATTTGGTTATTAAAAATTAATTAGTATGTATTAGATAAAAAAAAAAAACTGCTAATATTTGGAGTAAACCATCTAGAACAGAGGTTCCCAAACGTGACTTTGTGACGTGATTTTTATGAAATATCTAATAAGTAATTAATTGGAAAAATAATCATTTCTTATTATCATGGCAATTAAACAATATTTCCTAGTAAATCTTAATCATAATTTTTTCCCATTTTTTTTCTTTCAATAAAGAAAAATAACTTACAAAGTGGGTAATGTTGTATTCAACACATCTAATCATTTTTAGACTATTCTCAATTGTCAACAATAACTACAGTTATTGTTTTAGATTATAATAGTTTTCTGAAAATTATGAAGAACTCACCAATGAAATGCAGGACAAATATCACAACAATTTGGCTTTATAATGCATGTGATGTGGAAATAAAAAGAAAAATTTCAGATGGCAAAAAGACCATGTCAATACTCAACTCGGTATTATAGAACCGGAACATTATCCCTAAAAAAAACATCTACAATAGTATAGTACTGAGCATTATGACATATGGGTCAGAAGCTTGGACCATAAAAAGCAACCTTAGGAAGAAACTTAGCCACCAAAATGGACTACTGGAGATGAGCGGAGGGAATATCCAGAATTGATAAAATGAGAAATACGACCATCAGAGAAAAGATGGAGGCTAAAAGAACCATTCTGGAAGATATTGAGAAAAAACGCCTGAAGTGGTAAGGACATTTGAAAAGAATGCCTGAAGAAAGACTACCCAAAGAAGTCCACTTATGGAAAACAAGAGAAAAAAAGAAGACGAGGAAGAGCTGAGATAACGAAGTGGAGGAATCCATGATGGATCATGGTCTACGGGAAGAATGGACCTTAGATAGGACATTATGGAAAGAAGCCATCCAAGCACTTTAGGTTAAGGAAACCCACTATTAGTGGAAACTCCTAAGAATACTAGCAATGCATTGTTATATATTGATATTGGTGCTCGCTGTGTGATTATTAATCTATAAATGTGCCCTCAAGTAGAAAAAGGTTGGAAACTTCTGGTCTAGAACATTGATAATTCAGCAACTGGAGCTTGGGACTGTTCATATGTGTATATAATCCAACCAAAATGTTCAAGTTATACATTAATAAATAATCGTTAATTTTGAATAATCATTTGTTAATTTAATTTAATCACTACATTATAAAGAAACCATCATAAACTATTCTTTCAGTTACGAGATTGAATTGAATCCTTTCATTGAAATCTTAAGGTTAACCCTATGAGATTTCAGGAATTGAACATTTATCTTCTGGTGTAAAACACAATTTATTTCCTTTTAGATTCATTCTTTATCAACTAGCTAATAATCTCCCTAGCCAATCCTTTGGTTAACTTTAATTTAGCCTAATAAAATAATTTGATTCTGCTATATTTACTTTCCTAAAATTTGTTTCCATGATAAATCACTCATTAAATGTGATTTATGATTACATACTGATTACATATTTTAATTTTAGCATTTGTATTCACATTACAAATTATAAGTGGGAAGTAATAGATGGTTGACAGTTTATTGTAGCTTCAAATGAGGATTAGTCAAGTAAAATAAATAAAATAACACAAAAATGAATTGGCCAACCCACACGATCATTATTTAATTCATGATTGGTTAATAAATAATTTAATAAGTGTAGAATATAAATAAATAAAAAATAAAGACATTTCATCATGTTATTACATTAAAAATCTGATATTTTTACCTTTCTACTAGTTCGTTACCAAAGTCTTTGAGTTGCAATATTTTCATCTTAAATTTCAGCATAAAATGTACAAATTAAAGTTATTCTTCAAAATTTAGGCCATCATTGTCAATTAATGTAGCCAGAACTTGAACTTAAGGGTGATACTAATCCTTGGTTTTTGTGGTGAACAACTCCTAAATTCCTGATTTGACATCCGCTTTGTTTCCGTTGGCCCCTTTCAGTTGAATAGTGCAATTTCAGGGCTTTGATAAGGGTAGGATATGATGCTAACATCTTTAATTTCTGATCATTTTATTTCTCTGACAAAGCATGAAAGATTTCCAGTTTTGTCTTGCTGAAATATTGCTGTATACTGAGTGACCAAAATTCAGTACTTTTTTTTTTTTACTGTATACTTTCTAGAGTAGTTTACAGTTAAAGCCCAGCTTCAATAGCTCAGTACACTAGAATAGAAACTATCAAACTGGGGTCTGTGAAACAGTTTGGCATTAATTTTACATTCCTCATTTTTTTGGTTTTATTTAAATAAATTATTTTATAAAAACCCTACATGGATAAGATTTTTTGAATTTGTTGTTCCTTAACTAGTCTTTAACATAATTCATTGTTAAAGTAACAACATAAAATGCCTAGAGAGCAGCCAACTATCTAAGTTTAACAAAACTACCCTATTAAGATCCTGATAAAATTGTAAAATATCCTCATAATTATATGCATTGTTTACATCAGAATCAAATATGGAACAAAATAGAGACCTTAATATCAGGAGTATATCAATGCACAAAGACTTCTGTAACGATCTAGTAAAATCATAAATATAATAAATAAATAGTTAGATGACATCTCTACATTTGAAATGTGTAAGGATAGATTTGTATTTTGCTTAAATAAAATTACCATCACCATTACACTGAATATCAGCTAAAAATCTAAAATGAACATTGTTATTAGCTTTCTTTTTTATAATGCTATTTAAATAATGATATGGGAATAAGATCCACCACCAGTGACATAAAAATCCCCAGACAAGGATAATCGCTTCACTAACCTCTTTAATTTTACAATTAGAAGTTTGGTTCTCGTCAACTTTTGGTTCAGAAGTCTCTGTTTCTTGGTTGGGATTTGAAATATCTGCTGTAGAGTTTAAGTTTTCAGCAGGATTTTGAGCAACAGAATCTCCTGATGTTTGAGATGCAGTATTAGGAACTATTGGCACAGGTACATTTTGATAAAGGTGCCTTCCTAGTGGTGGTTTCGGAAGGAACTGTCGTGGTGCAGGAACTGGGGTTGTTCCTCCAGTTCGAGAACACCTAAGGCTCCTGAACTGCGGCCAATGCCTAGCACGAGATCCTAAAGGGCGTACAGTTAGGAATTTACGAGCTGGTACTTTTTGTTGGCTTCTTGAAGAACCGTAGCCTGAACTCAGTCTACTAGGTGGTCGACTAGGCTGCCAATATAAATTGCAATCTTTTCAGTAAATGTTTTAAGTAGGTAAGAAAAATATATTATTTTATTTTATGTTATTGTTCATGTTTAACACAACACAAAATAAATAAATAAAAGAAAATTAAGTTTTTGTTAAATAAATTTTTATTGAAAAAAAAAATAATCAAACCCAAGCATGTTAATGCTAAAACTGTTAATATGTCAATATTAATTTTTAAAAAGCATCCGTTTAGGTTCCAAATAACTTTTGAAAATCCCTTTTATTTCTTTTTAAGTTGAAATTCATTTATTGAAATTTATTTATTGAAATTCATTGTTGGAGATATTAAAATATTTGAAATAATCAAAATTATCATATAATTCAAGCTTACCTTGTTTGGAGGATTTTGCATATTATGGAAAGGAAGATTTTCATAGAAGGCTTTGTCAGATTCTGGTGGTAGAAGTGCATCATTCGGTGATGTATTCTTGTTGTCTTTATTTGCAGCATTGGGATCTATGGGAGGAAAATTATACTATAAAATAGTTTGAATATTTTTGTATTGTATAATACTAATTATTAAACTAAAAACAAAATGATTTGCCTTTCCTGTAATAAAAAAGAAAATAATAATTAAAATATATAAAAGTTAGCTATTATTTAATTTAATATTTAACATCGACCAATTTTTGTAAATGTTATTTGTTAATGATCTTTCACTGGTTTAAGAACAATTCAACTATAACAATTTTCATGTGACGAAAAAGCTTAATGAAGACATGACATCTTCCGTGAAAGCAGAATAATAGAATTTGTTGTTATTATTGTTAAACAATTATTATTAATCATTTGAGATGTGAAATTCATAGAAAAAATATTAGAAAGCCATTAGAATGACCCTGAAGGATACTTCTACAAAGATAGGCTGGATGAAAGAATAATTTGAGAAGCAGCTATAAAAATTGATCAATTTAATTAATCAAATTAATCAATTGAAATAATTTTAATGTTTCCTCATTAGTATTATTTCTTTTAGTATCATAATGTCTCCAAGGCTGGATCGCAGGTCATTCTGATTATGAATACAGTAATTATTTTTCAAATCTATCAATTTTATACCATAGGATACCATTCAAACACTAGGTCTCAAGGTTTTTTGAGATACTTCAGGTACCAAAGATTTAAATATTCAAAAGAAGAAGGCTCTACTCATATTTTGAAGATCGATTATATAAACCTGTCTACTTTCTTGTAATGCTCTTTTTCTTATGTTATTATGGAGTCAAATACACCTCCAACGTTTAAGATAAATAACATACACAAGGAATGAGTGTCAGGAATATATTCAACAATATTTAGATAATACAGCATTATCCTTAATAGTTGAATTAATTATCAGCATACTTTATAAATAAATCACAACTAATCAGAAAATGTCAATATATATAAATGTATATATTTATATTAATACAAAGTAAAGTAATACATACCAACATTTGTTGAATTTTTTTGCTTCCTCAGTGTTCCTGCTTCCATCGCAGGATCAAGGCGCTTGAATGTGACCACTTTTAGACAGTAGGCAAAAACATACAGACATGCAAGTGTCAAACAAACATGACGTATGCAATGGACAGGTATATTATAAACATGCTAGACCAGACATGTGCAACTAATTAATATTTCATAACAGCCATCACAAAAGACAATTCTAGCGGGAAATATAGTTTTCAGTTGTGACATAAGTTATGTTTTTGCAATTGTAAAATTTACTAGATTTTTACTACATATCTGGACTACATGTAAACTGGAAAAAAATAAATATGAAAGAAAAAAAATGTTTTCTTTTGGCTAATTTATTAGTATATGTAAAGATTTTTTTTCAAGTTTTCATGATGAAATAAATAACACAAGATTGGTATCTAAAAGTTTCCCTTTCAAATTCTCTCGTCAAAGCTTAGAATATAGATAAAAATTTTAAGGTTACCAATAAACGTTTGGCAAAAGATAACATTTTTTTTAAATTAAGGAATGGGTGTTAGTAATGCAATAGTAAATATAATTACTTTAACTCTTATTAATGTGTCAAAACTTCCAGATTTTAGGTATAGCAGCACAGCTAAACCTCAATTAATGGAGTAAAGAAATTAAAAAGATGCATATATAATTGAGTAACATCATTACTGAACATAAACTTTACTGTTAACAATTATTTAATTAGCAAATTTTTAAATTTAAAACTCATTTAATATTTTATTATTATCTATTAATTATTGTATATTTACAATTTACAACATTTTTTATTGTCTCTTTAGATTTTTTTTTATTTGCTTAATAACTTTTTTCCAAAAATATTTTATTTTCTGATATTTAACCAACAATCTTCGGTGTATATATTGAATAACACACAGATTAGACTTATCAAATCCATTGAATTAATGTTAAAAAAAATATATTTATGAATAAAAATTTGAAATTACTTATCAAGGATTTGTTCATTATTTGATATTAACAGTAAAACATAATATATTAAAACATTTTTTTTTTTCTTTATTTCAAGTAAAATTGATCAAATCAAAGTGGACATCAAATTTTCATCTCAAATGAAATATGATAAGAAAATTGTATTATTTATTTTATACCAGCTTTGTTGATTCCAAATGTCAGATAACTGAGGTTTGCTGTACTTAAAACTTAATAATGTTAAATACAATGCAGGCATTTTTTTCATTGAAAAAAAGCAGACAGACACATTAACATTTGAATTATCTCAATTCAAGCATTTATTAAATTATAAAATTCATATTTATTCAACATACCATTTGATAAAATCAAATGTTCATTTTAAATAGTTTGTATGATGTTGGCATTTTCCAATAAAAAAACCTTTTAGTTTTTGATAACTTAAGTAAGCATTAATAATTCAATGACTAAGTTCTGAAAGTAATGAAATATTGATTTTAAGATATATATTAAATGATTATAAAAACTTTAACCTGAGATTTCGTTAAACCAATAAAAAATTTTAAAATATAAAGTATTTCAGTTGGGAAAAATATTTTTAAAGAGTAATATTTATATTTAAAACTTGTAATTATACTCATGCACACAAAGACAATACACTGTAACTAATATATTTTTCAGAAATATTTTTTAAAATAATCATGTAAGCAGAGATGGACATATTTATATTCATAAGTGTAACTACGAAATATATTTATAATTATGATACTCCATGAATATAATAATAATATGTTTATATTAAAAAATATATATATATGAATATAAGTAATTTTTATTCACAAATGTAAATATAAGCTGTATTCACACTTATAAAAATGAATATGCTTATATTTACAGAAGTAAATGGGAATATTTTCACAAAATCTTATTAATGAGTGAATACTCTTATTTATTAAACAAATATTAATTTTTTAACAAATGTCTGTTAGTTATGAAGTCCATAAATCACATTAGTGTTTTGAAACAATTTGGGCTCAAAACTCGAACATATTATTCTATAAAATATCTTTTAATCTATCCAACAAAAGGTATGTAACGATTTATAGAGTGAACAGCGCAACCAATTTTTAAGTTACGTTGTTTAAATTACTCAATTCGATCGCTTTATGCTCATTGGTTTGAAAATAAATGACTCATAGGATTTTTCCCTTAAATCCAATTTCACTCTAGTAGCGTCCTACTATGCATCTATAGGTTAGTATTTTACAAAATGTAAAAAAAAAAAAATTAAAATAATGTTCTGAACAGTAAGGGGTTTATTGAGTCAACCTCTTCAAAAATGTTAACTAAGTTGGTATTGGCTAACACGCAATGATGTATACATTTCATTAACCATAAAAGTATTATTATGAATACTTTTATATTTTTTGTTGTCAAACTGATGTGTTGAATTGAATAGCGGATTTGAATAAATATATACATATTTTTTGTTTTATTATTAAATTAAGGATATTTATTTATATGATTATTTAAATAAAACAGTATTGACGATAAGTGTATTCAAGTTTACAGGAATGACTAAGATTGCAAATGTTTTAATTCAGATAAATACATTTGTTGAAAAATTAATATGTATTTATCAAGTAAGAGAATTCTTTCATAAGATTATATAAACATATACCCATTCACTTCTGTAAATAGACGCGTATTCATTTTTGTAGGTGTGAATACAACCATATTTACTTTTACTGGTGTGAATATGGCCATATTTATATTTAGTGGGGTGAATATGGCCGTATTCATATAATACAGGTGTTTATTTTCTATCTATATTCATAGTTGAATATGAATTATCTACATTCATATTTCTTTTTTCTTTTTTTTAATATAAACATATTCATATTCAGAAAGTACTCTGCATGTATGTCATATTGACACATTAAACTTCATTCATTTAGTGAATATAGTATTTTTGAGGCACGACATGACCATGGGTGGTGGAGGATAAAAACAGAAATAGATGACTACAATCAATTTGAGTCAATATTCTTAAATTATTCAAACCAAAGCAACATTCAATTCAACATTATACAATATTTAATATTTTTTTAAATATTAAACATATGTTTATGTCAATAGTGAAATTGAGGATGTTTCTGCAGTAAGGGCTCATGTTACGATAGGCCTTTTTATTGTAAAACGTTAAAAAATATTTCCCGTTTTGATTCAAGAAGATTGTGTAACAATTTTGCATTGGTTAGCCAATTAGTTAAAAAAATAGAATGGTTCTGTATCCTGAATTATTAGGCCATGTCATTCTTGCAATTATTGCAAAAACAGGTGTACAGACTTCTTCTTAATGAGCATAATCTTTTTAACATAAATATTATGTGTTTTTATTTAATAAATAAAATTAAGTTTTACAATCAATAAAAGAAAGTAAAGAATAAGGGATGTGAGGATGCTTCTGACAAAAATGTAAATAAAAAAACATTTAGGTTCATAAAACATTGTTGCATTAATGGAATCCATGGATTTAGTTACCAGATTTCATTTAATGAACAAATGGATTTTTTCATGCCTTCTAAGGAAGAAATCAAAGATATTTTTTTTTTAGCTCAACCTAGACAAGAAGAAATGAAGCTTATTACCATTTTATCAAAGATCGAAAATTCAATTGTTATTTTTCATAATAATGATATACCATTTAAAATTGAAAGGCATAAAAGTGAGCTCTCCTCAAGTTCAATTAGTCAAATATGTGTCCATTTCATAAAAAAAAAAAAAAAAAATAGATTTTATGGAAAATTTTAAATCTAAAAATGACTTCCTATTTATTTAGTTAATACTCTTGATGAACAATCGGCCATATAATATAGAAAATATAGAACAATGTAAGGCCTGTAGAAAAGTTTGTATAACTAGTTTAAAGCTTGAACCCTCATTGCTGAAATTTAACTTTTTGAATATAAGCCCTCATTGCAGCCATATTCTCAATTGTCCTTAGTTGAAATCAATAATATAAATTTAGTTGTTGCTTCTTGGATAGTCTAATATTCTTTTACTGTTTAATAAAAAATTATTACAGAATTTCTGTTGTCAGTAAAAAAGTACAACTTAACATTACGAGAAATTAAAAATATATTTTTTTAAAGTAATGGTCATTAAGAATGCCTCAATAATTATTATTAATTAAAGGATTAAATTTTAATCAAAACAATCATTAAATTATTAAAACCAATTGTTAAATTTATATCTCAGTTTAACTACAAAAAAAAATTCATGTTAATTAGAAATTTATTCAACAGGATTGTGTTTCACGAGCCTCATTGCTTACCTCCAGTTCTGGAGCTGAATACTCCTGGTATTGTGCCAGTTTTAATTTTGTCGACTTGGTCCGGGGAAAACATGTTCTTTATCCTGGTCGCTCTTGATTCCTGACTCTCATTGAGCGGACCGCTTTGCCCGGAGCTCGCGAGAAGGCTGTGGTTAGTGTTGACATGAACCAGGACACCGGGCCTCAAAGGCCACTTTCCTCTTCCATGGCCTGACCTTGAGCCTGACGTATTGTTGTTGTTGTTGTTGTTGTTGCAGCTACCTTCAGGACTGACACTCACATATCTCAACTACATATAATGCATGCACGAGCAGGAGAATATATGGTTATTTTCTAAATAGCTCCATATCCTTCATTAAATTTTAATTATTTATCTTATAGAAGAGTATCAATTAACAAATTTTAACAATGAAGTGTAATTTAGTATGGATTGTCAACAGTACTAGTTTTTTTTTAATTATTCTTATTTATAATTTAAACACCAGAGATCGACTCTGGGGTTGGGAGACTCTCCTGAGGCACATATAAAGTGGGTAAATAATTAATTAAGAGGGGAAACCTGGCAGTTGAGCGTAATCCTATCTCGATCACCTCTCTGCACAACCGTTGGTCTAGAAACCATACTTCCTTACAAAGTACATCCCTTCATGGGATGTAGTGGTGCAGGTTTTTTTTTTCTTATTTACAATTTAATTACATTTATCAAATTCTGAAATAATTTTTCCAAGATTAAAAAAAAAAGTCACTAGAAGGAAGTAGAAAAAAAAAATCAATTGAATGAATAGCTTCAACACTAAAAAAGAAATAAAGAAAAAAAGATGAAAGAAAATCATTACAAAAATAATTGAATAAATAAAAACTCATTAAATTATGTTAACGTTTATTATTTAAAAGACTTGTGTCCTTTAAAATTGAGTTACTTTAATATCTATTTACTAATAACAAGAATCAAAATGAAACTATCGGTCCAAAATATCAATATATTTTTACATCTCTACTTCTAGTAGTTTGTGTAACAATTTTTTCTTGATTGAAATTTTCATTTTAGTTAGAAAATATTACTAATCCAAGTATTAATAGTTTATTCAGTAAGTTTAAAGTATCCCAAGTTTGAACAATTGAGATTCAGTCAAGACTGTACTCTAAAAGTGGATTTCCCTCAAATGTATCATTTTAATTGATATCATTATTCTGATTTAATGTGTATTTTCTAAAGGATAATTTAGCTTTCTCCTAAATTGTCAAGTTATTTATTTTATTTTTTGTATGAAGAAGACATTATTCACTAGGTTTGTTTCATGATTATGAACAATTTTCTTAATGTAATGATTTTTGGATAGAATAAACCAAATGTAAGTATCCATTATTTTTTTAGGCGCAGTATAGACATTTGAATAATGTAATATGAAAAGGATATTCAGATATGCAGGTTGATCTTGATAGACTAAACCAATCTAATTTTATTTGATTTTTTTACAATAAATAGATAACAAAACAAAGATAAATATTAAATATTTACATAAATAGTAAATTTTACTATTTATAGAAACTATATTTAGACATAGTTATTATTTTCAGTTTGTTTTTAACTTTTTTTTTTTTTTAAACTTTCTTTATTGAATATTAATACATTCTGCCACATTGAAGGGCATTAATATTAAGGCTACATGATTCATTCACACAATATGTAACTTTATTTATATATCCAAATCTGTCTAATATACCATTGGTAATCAGTGAATAGTCTGTCAAAATCAGTAATAAAATAATAATGCCATGTCAGACAGGAGGAAGAAAAATTCCAACAGTATCTCTTCCATGGCATTATTTTAGACAGAAATAAAATAAAGTTACAGAAGGTATCTCATTCATGACCTTTTCAGCCACCTTCTGATGACAGGTACGCTGGTAGTGGCCATTCTTACTTACTATTAGCTGATAGTTATATCCCTTTAAATTGAAATATTTTGTAGTGAATCTGTATGTATTCGCTGACTTTTGGCATTCTTAAGTCAGTGTGTAAAGTTTCATTAGAAATATACTGAGGCATCGTTATTATTATTTTAAATTTTATCTTTGTAATTTAAAATATAATAAATTAAAACTACAAAGATTTTTTCTCTGCAGTACCATTTGTAAGATAAAATTTTCAACATGTTTAAGAAATGCATATAAAGTATGCATACATTTGGTCAACACCCTTTTAAATTTATCATTAAAAGGTTATGAATTTTATTTATTTCTTAAATTAATGAAGGATAATGAAGCTATCTATATGCCATATCAGGACTGTTCCTCTTATCTCCTTGAGGAGATTGTTATAATTTTATAGTTTGTTAGAAGTCAAAATTAGAGGTCAATTATAATTTTATAATAATTGATTTATAATCAATAGGTTTAAAAATATTTAAGGTGACTTAAAAAAAAATAAATAAAAGCTGTTTTAATTTTAAAATAAATATTTTGACACCTTTTCTAAGACATTTCTTGGACTAGAATATTATATGAAATGCAATGGACAGGAATGGGTCATAATCTTTTTTTTAAAATAAGATGGATAGAAAGATATATAATCATAAAAAATAGATGTACATGTAGCTAAATGAAAATGTTCTTTAGGTTATTTTTGGGTGTATCTATATAATTATTACTTCAATGGTGTATATAAAAGGATGTATTACAATCAAAATACGATTCACAAGAATGATTATTTCATTGGCGAGCACGATATGAGCAGTTTAATAAGTTTGTGCTACTGGCATTCCATCATTTATTGTTAATCTAAGGTCATAAGTGACTATTGTTTGTGTTCATCTCGATAGCGCATTTTGTTTTTGTTTTTGTATAATTTCCTTACATATATCACATTGTTATTATTATAACTATTATTAACATTTCCATAATTTTTATTCATGTTATTATTCAAGACCTGAAGATTGTCAGCAAGTTTTGATCAAATTACTTGATTTGTAACAAACTAGATTCAATAAGTTTTTTTTTTTAATTGTAATTAATCTTGACTGTTTCCCAACAAAACAATTTATTATCTTAACTGTGAGTTGGTTTTTATAAATATGACAGTTTGTTTATAATACCAACTCTCAGATAAATCTGTAGTTTGTACTACTTCATATCTAGAATATCAATAAATGATTTATTAAAATTTAAATTTTAGGGTTGATACTTTTTCATCAAATAATAGTAATTTTTAATTTTATAAACTGAAACACAACTAAAATTAAACCTTTCTCTTAATATTTATTTATAATGTTTCATAAGCTTGAAAATATACTTTAGTGAGATTTAATGAAGAGAATACTATATTTGAATAATATTTATTGTTGGTAAACATTTGAGTTTTTAAACAAGAGGATTCAGTCCTGATTTCAGCAGTATGAAGAAACAAAATGTGAATGACAAATATCCTTCAATAAATTCCCAACTTTTGATTGTAATGAAATGAATAGATATGTTTTTACTGATTTATCCATGTTGTCCAATTCATGCAAGTTAATAAATTTAAGTAATAAACAGATCCCTGAATTTATTGAAGGAGTTATTAGTATTATTGATATTTTTGTTTTAAACAATATATTTTCTTAAGAAATTAATCAAGATAAACAAAATAATTATTACATAAAAATAAACACATGCAAAATAAATAATATATAAAAAAAATGTTTAAAGAAAGCTGAAAGAAGGTCTAAGTCATAATTGAGGTGAAAGCAGATAGATGGGAAATGGATGATAGAGATAAATAAAATGAATGACTATGATGTTTCTTTAAAAAATCAAATAATAATGTGGCAGGTAGCAGCCTCTGGGTAATAACAGGGTTCAAGTAGCAAAATAAAATATAATTCAGGCATGTCAAATATATTTTTTTTAACACATTATGCTTAAAATGTTACTGTATATAATTTAAATACAGATTCCAGCCAATGTCTTTTAAATAAAGTACTATGACTTTAATTTCTGTTGCATTAGTTAACAAAAAATAAGATTGTACTAAATTTAAAAAATGTTATTTCATCATATTATAAACAAAATCGATCAGGCTTATTACTTTATATGTGTTTATCTATTTTTATCAGATATAGACAAGAAGCTGGATATATATTAGTGATTAATGCACTATAATTTGTTAAAAATGTTTAAATTGTTAAAATAAATTAAATTTGATTTATTAAAATTATTATAATACACCTTATTGAGAAACAATTGTATTGCACTGAATTTTTTCAAACTTACTCTAGCATTAGTGGTTTCACTCCCCCTGATCTATCGGTAATCCACTGTGTTAAAGGATGTTTTGTTACTCTCCTAGAAACATCTATCTATCCATTAGCACTACAACGCAGGGTCGTAGTTTCCTATAGTAGCTTCCATCATCCAGCTCTATCTGGTGCTATTGCTTTAAAGTTGGTTGTGATCATAAAGATCCTTAAATCAGCAGCCACATTGTCCACATAGCTTAGTCCCAGTCAATTCTCTTTCATGTTCTGTTTTGCCTGTTTTCAATTCCTTCAGAATAATTTCTTCTTCCTCCATTCAGAACACATGTTTGGCCCAATCTAACACTCCAAGCCTTATGAAGTTAATAACAGTCAGATCATTATAAAGAATATAAACTTTCTGATAAATGTATTTCTTCCAAACTTTCACTTCCTTCATAGAGATCTTAATGCATTGCAAGATCTTCCTTTCAAATACAAATAGATCATTTTCGTAAGCCTTTATTGTTGTCCATGTCAACACAGATATAATATCAAGACCTAATCCAATCTGATCTTTGTTGACTTCATGAGCTAATCATTCTCATGAAATCAAAATAGCAACGTTTTGCCATAATTACAATTTAGCTTATTTCCTTTGTCATACTGTTGGTAGATATCCCAAGAAATCCAAGATATGTGAATTCTTGCAATCTTTAAATTTGTATGAGTCTATATCAATAAAAGTTTCAATGGGCTCCTTCTGTTTTTCCTGCTGTATATAGTCTTGCCATTATTTATCTTTATACCAAGTCACGAACGATCAAGGTAATGATTGCTCAACTCAGTTTTGGATCTGACAAGGATGTTAATATCACCGGCAAAGCCTTAGAGTTGAATATTTCAGTTGGCAAGAGTTTCTGTCATATTGTTCTCAGCATTAGCGGATCCAAGATTTAATTTGAGGGAGGGGGGAGGGGGCTTCAGTTTTTTTTTTTTCATATATATATAACGATAATTACTTTGGAAAAAAAAGGGATACTAATTACCTATATGAAATGGTGTTTAAGTGATTCTTGAATCCTATTAAATGTAATTACATGAGCAATAATACTTTAAGAGATAATTTTTTAATATTATTTACCGTAGAACATTGTTACATTTTATCATTTTGAGGAGAGTCCCCATCCCCTCCCCCGTAGATCCACCTGTGTTTCTCACTGTCTACCACAATGATATGCATTCTTAAAGTCAACAAAAAAGTGGTAGGTTGTAAAGTGTACTCAATTCCCCTTGTGTACCCATCCATGAGGGTCATCAGGACAAAGATTTTATTCATTGTAACATTTTCCTACTAAACCGAGTTCGGTATTTTCCTAATTTATTTATTTTTTATTTTATTTTTCATGATAATACAGTCACAAGATAGACAGAGGTGAATTTAAGTTCATGATGGCTGAGAGTGTTAAGGCATCACTTAGCATCTCTAGTCAATCTGGCGTGGGAAGATTCAAATTTATTTCTAGACAGACCCATGGAATGAATCTTTCTACTCTTGTCAAAATAGGTTGGTTAACTGTAATATAACCCTCCTATTTGCCCGAGTTGAATTAATTTTCCATGTAGTATTAATTTTTTATTCGGATTCTGTTAAATAATTGGCCGGTATAAGTTTAGATCTACCAATGGAACCTATTTTACCAATGGAAGAAATAGCATTTTTTTACTTTTTTATTGGAGTTGGAGATAGAGTGATTCTTATTATTAATCATTTTTTTCTCTATATTGTTGTACAACATTGTACACAATATTATTTTTAAAACTTATTATATATAAAAAATTGTGTCATACAATCTACTACATCATAGATTTTAATTTTAGTTGACTCCTCTAACATATTTTAAAGTAACTATTGCAAATGTAGGGATAAAAATTATTAAATGGAGTTGACTAAAATCTATGGTGGAGTGCTAGATGGTATAACACAATTTTTCACAAATAATAATTTTTTTAAATAATGAGAATAATAGGGTGTACAATGTTCTATGATAATATGGAGAGAAAGTTATTAATAACAGGTTTTTGAAAATGAGTAAAAAATAATCCTGAAAGATCAAGCGAATAAAGAATAAAAATAACATGAAAACCTGATTAATTCTTCTCCTAAAATTTCTAGTGAAATAATTTTGTTTTAGAATCAGTTTGACATAAATAGATTATATGCTGCATGTAAATTAATTTTTCAATAGTAATGAGATATAATTATATCTGACATGCCTAAAATGAATAAACTTGAGATCAAATGTACTCACTTTAATGTGTAGTTGTTCATGACAAACATGGCAATGTTACTGTAAAAAGTGAATCTTGATGTATTATCTATTTTATTTAAAATTAAAATTCTCTAAAATTATTTACTTTTCACTTATTTCGAGGATTACCGAACTAGAAACTCTCAACAGGTTAAATTAATGACAACGATAATAAATTATATTTTCTTCATAAAGGAGAAGGGTTTTCTGAAAGGAACACTGTAATAACATGCTCATGCAGTACTATCTTTAATTATATTGAAAGAAAGGAAAGTAATAAGAGAATATATAATAAAGGTAGGTTTTCAAACTATGACATATCATACATTTTATCGTTTTCACAAAATGTTCACTTTTCTACT